CACCCGGACGGACGCTCCAGGCGCGGCGCCGAGGAGAGGCGAGGGGGCTGGGGAGGGGGAAGGGGCCACTCGGGCCATGGGATTTAACCCCTGACTCCCCGCGACGCCCAGAGTGCAGAGGGCGGAACCAAGTTAGACTTCAGGTGGAACTTTCAGCTGGGGAAGGAGGAGATGTCGGGGTCGGGGTGGGGACGTGGGCTGAGGGAACGGCGGTGCGTGCACATAATTCAGCATCTGGCTGGAATCAGGACATTCGCATTCTTAATTCCGTGTGTGGTCCTGGGCACAGCACTTCAGAGTCTGTTTCTTCAGCTCTGAAATGGGGATTTTAATATCTTTAATAATTTCCCACAATTGATGAGAAGCTCGAGTGAGATAATGAACGCCAAAGCCCTCAGCCCTCACAGAGAAGGGGTCACCATTCCAGGTGCCTAGAATGCCAGTTGCCTTCGTCCCTCCTCGTTTCCCCTACGTGCTATCCCCAGGTTGAAAGCCAGCCCAGAGGGGTCCTTTGCTTTTCCTCTGGAAGTCTTACCCTTCTTCTGCCTTCTCACTCTGGAAACAGGACATGATCTCGCCTTTCTTTGCCTTTGCAGGTGAGGCCTGCACTTCTCTGAGAGCTATGGCCGTGTTCGATCATTTTCAGTGACAGCTGGTTGTCAAAAGTGTCTCTCCCACCAGAGGTCAAGCTCCCTGAAGGCAGGACCCTGACATCCCCCAGCCCACAGCTGGTGTTCCACACCTGTGTTGAATAACTAATAGGACTCTGAGGAGAATAACTAGCTCTGTTCAGATCAGAAACACCCAACTCTGAAATCAACAGGGCAGAGTCCTGACTCTATCCCTAACCTGCAGGGCCACTCTGGGTAAATACATCCATCCTTGCTTTGGACCTCAACTTCCTGCCCAGCTTCTCTTGCAGAGCTACTGGAGACTCCAAGGAGTGTTGGAAGGGAGAACACTGGGAGGAGTAAAAAGTGAGAAAGGGTGTTGAGCCATGTCCCACTCTTGTAGGGAATCATATTTCCACGTTTAAACACTTCTGACTGGCTGTTTGTAAATATATCTTCCTGGGCCAAGGCTGGGCTCCCCATTCCACTGTACCGCCAGGCCATGTCCCTCCTTCCCCCCCAGAACAGAGAACAGTAGGGCTAATTAGTGATCCCACAAACAGTCCTTCCCCAGGGCTCTCAGAGTCGGGGACAAACATGATCTGCTCCTGGTGACTCTCAGGCTTAACTTCTCCCACTCTAATCTGGCCAGTCTCTTAGACTCCTTTGAGTATATCTTAACAGATAATGAGTGCTACGTATGTCATCATGCTTCCCTTTTTGCCTTGGCTTTCAGGGAGCTCAGAGTTAAATTTAGTACTTAATTGCATAAAAAAAATCTAATCAAATTTTTGTTTAAAGTGTACTGTGCGCATACATTCATGTTTTAGGTGTAAGAGGTGGGTTAAGATTGGCCTCCCCTACATCCTGCCCATTCTACTTCAAAACTGGTCTCTACCATCTCAACCCTCCTCTCCATCCTCATTAACCCCAAAGTTCAGGCCATCAACGTTGCTTACGTGAACTTTCCCAACAGCCTTTTAACAGGGCTCTTGCACCCAGTCTGGGCCCTCTAATCTACTTTCCTCACACCTGCCATAGGAACTATGCTGATCATTTCTAGTGACAAATCTGATCACATAACTTTCCCATTTAAAATCTATTATCAACTTTCTATTGAGGTAGGAGGTACTCAGTTCCCCTGGGTTCAGGTTACAGGACACACTTGTGTGTTTCAAGCCACTCACAGAGGTCTCAGGCCCTTCCTCTGGGCTCTCCCCTAGAGGAGAGTTATTGTTGCTGGTTGTACCTATTTTCACCAACTACACAGGGAAATTGAGACCTGGGGGGAGGGGCTGACTTATACAACTCCAGGGGCTGGGCATGCTCAGTAGAAAGAGGTTATATAACCCTAATAGCCAAGCATGCTCAGTAAAGTGGAATTTATCCTTTGAATGACCTTACACTAGAGATGCTAAAGAGCACAGAATATTCTTGAATATGTTCAGTGCATGTGATAGAATTTAACCAATGAACATGCCCTAAAAAGATACCAACTGGGCATATGTAAGACTATGTTACATGACTGGGAACCACTCCCTTAGTTGAATATTCATTAGATAGCATGAATATGTATTAGATAGCCAAACTGTAAAAGTGGAATCCCAGCAGAAGGCAGGGTTGTTGCTCACTTTCCTGGGGCCAGCTCACACTTCCCCTGCTGAGGTGTGTATGCCTTTCTTTTGTATCAAACTTACTTTCAGCAAGCGGCTGCTCACTCTTTTAAGTCATCCTGCACACAAGCAGCTGCTCACTCCCTGAAGCCAGGCTGCACTTTGTGCTAAACTTTAAGTGTGTATTTCTTACTTTTGTGTTAAACTTGGTGTGGGCTCTGCTCAGCCTCTGGGGCTAGGCCGCACTCTTCCTGTGGAACCTGTATCTCTGATTCATTATATTAAACCTGTTCTCACTTTCTTTCTTTTTTTTTAAAGATGACCGGTAAGGGGATCTCAACCCTTGGCTTGGTGTTGTCAGCACCACGCTCAGCCAGTGAGCAAACCGGCCATCCCTTATATGGGATCCGAACCCGTGGCCTTGGTGTTATCAACACCGCACTCTACCGAGTGAGCCACAGGCCGGCCCCTGTTCTCACTTTCTACTGTAACTCTGCTCTTGAATTCTTTCCTGTGGTGGAGTCAAGAACCTGGTAAGAGGACAGGGTGGGTTGAGGCCAACTATCAGGCCTCCCCAGACCCTCTCCTCTGACATCACTATCATTTATAGATTAAAATCTAAAATCTTCAGCACTGGATTCAAGACCACACACATTTCCTATATACACCATTGCCATCTACCCTACACTCACCTCCCCAAAGTGGCCATGCATTTTCATGCCTGCATATCTCTGTATATGCTTTCCTTCTGCTTGGACTATCTTTCTGCTTCTCCATCTAGTACATAACTTTTTACTTTTCAAAAGTCAGCTCTGGGGCCGGCCCGTGGCTCACTTGGGAGAGTGCGGTGCTGATAACACCAAGGCCCCGGGTTCGGATCCCATATAGGGATGGCCGGTTCGCTCAC